CCCCCCACACCCTCCCCCAATTTAACCCCCCCACACACACACACAATTTAACCACTCCCCACACACACACACACACACACTCGCACAATTTACCCCCACACACACACACAAAAAAGCACCCAGTCTCTAATGTGCTATGTATTTTATGGGCAACCCCTAAAAGCAACACACACCGGGAGATCCAAGGATGGCAGGTCTTAGAAACAGGACGGGGCTGGATTGGAAACACAAGGAGGGTAGGTCTACACTACCACCCTAGTCCGAACTACCTAGTCCGTGCCGCGTGTAGCCGCGTGGCACGGAGTCCGCACTCGCGGACATTTAAAAATGGCGGCGCCCGGCTTTATGCAAATGAAGCCCGGGAAATTCAAATCCCAGGCTTCATTTGCAACTCCGGTTGCCTACATTACCCCGCTAGTTCGAACTAGGGGCTAGTGTAGACATACCCGGAGAGTCCCCAAGAGCTGGGACTACCCAAAACCCAGGGCAGAGAGCCATCTTCGCACCCACCACAGTAATCAACTCCCCTCCCTCCAGCGGCTGCCCTGGGGCGCTCACCTATTCCATAGCGAGGGCAGCTCCTCCTGCAGATCCAGGTTCATCTCCTCGAACACCTTCTGGGCTTTCACCAGCTCTTCCTCCGCCTTTGCCACAGAGAGGGGACACGTCAGCGCCAGCCCAGCGCCTCGAGGCCCCTGGCCAGCTGGAGAGGCCAGGCCGGTTCCGGAGCACCCCAGTCCTGCCTGCCCCACCCCCCGACCCGCACGTGTGGCCACCGGGGTTAATTCTCTGGGTTAATTCTCTGCATAGGACAAGGGCTGATATTCGCTCCGGCTTCCCCCTTTCCTGGTGGGGCCTCTCCCACCTGCCTGCCGAGCGGGGTACCTCAGCCTGGCTCCTTGCACGGCTGGACCCCCTGCACAGGCCGAAGAGAAGACACGGGGCTCAGCAGGTGCCAAGCACAGGGGTAGGGGAGGTCGCTGCCTGGCAGAGCTGTCGTGCCCCTGCAGCACGGCTGGGAAGTGGCCGGCACAGAGGCAAGGCTGGATCAGGCTCTGCAGGGCTTGGAGCAGCAAGGACAGGCTCCCCCAACCCAGGACTGTGGCCTCGGTTCGGCCGCAGGCCCGAGACAGCGCCGGCGAGCC